TATGATACAGAGACATGTAAGAAGGTTTGCCGACTGAATAAGGCATTGTATGGATTAAAGCAATCCCCTAGAGCTTGGCTTGATAGATTCAGACTAGCCCTTGGAAAATTCAGCTATGTACAGGCCCAGTCAGATCATACACTGTTCGTTAAAAGAGTGAACTCTTCTTTGACCTTGCTTGTTGTATATGTGGATGAAATTGTAGTGACAGGGAATAATAATAGTGAGATTGAGTCCCTCGAACAGTTCCTTCGTCAAGAGTTTGAGGTGAAAGATCTTGGTGCACTGCGATATTTTTTGGGTATTGAGGCTGCTAGATCTAAACAGGGGGTCTTTATTTCTCAAAGGAAGTATGTTCTAGATCTGTTGGTGGAAACTAGAAAGTTAGGTGTCAAGCCTGCCGATACACCCATTGAACAGAATCACAAGATYAGTGCAGAGGGTGGAGAGCCTCTCGAAGACAAAGTTATGTTCCAACGGTTGGTTGGAAAGCTCCTATATCTCTGCCTCACACAGCTAGACATCAGTTATGCAGTCAGTGTTGTTAGCTAGTACATGCATTCCCCTAGAACTACACATCTTCTTGCAGTTGAGAGAATATTAGCATACTTGAAGAGATGCCCAGGTAGAGGTATATTGTTCAAGAACAATAATCACATGAAGGAGGAGGTCTATACAAATGCTGATTGGGCTAGGAGTGCTGATGGCAGGAGGTCTACCTCTGGATATTATGCCCTTGTAGGAGGTAACCTTGTCTCTTGGAGGAGTAAGAAACAAAGTGTTGTTTCCTGCTCTAGTGCCGAAGCTGAATACAGGTCAATGGCTAACAGAGTGGCTGAAGTCACTACTTGAAGAGTTGGGTATTGATTATGAAAAACCCTTGATGTTGTATTGTGATAATCAGGCGACTATTAATATAGCTCACAATCCGGTGCAGCATGACAGAACTAAACATATCGAAGTTGATCAACACTTTGTCAGAGAAAGGGTTTCATCACAAGAAGTGTGTCTCCCGTAKATTACCTCCAACATGCAGCTCGCAGATCTTCTCACCAAGGCCATTCCAAGGAAGAAGTTAGAGGCAGACCTATTCAAGTTGGAAATGACAAATATCTATTCCCAACTTGAGGGGGAGTGTAGAGAACACAAATGTGGGCCCCACGGTTGTGGTCCCCACTGTGTTCGTATGACATCACATGTAATCTTTGATTAGTTTGTCAGTGTTAGTTGGTAATTATCTTAGACAGCTTGTTATCTCAATTATTTATTTGTTTTATTTGCCATGTAAGCATTAAGGGCAATTCTGTCCTTTCCTACATTTAGTGAACATAAATTATAAATATTGAGAGAGTGGCGGCGGCAGATTCATTCGATCTGTCCCTCCTTTCAAAACCCTTGTGTACTTCTGCTTCTTCTCCTTTCTTCTCCCTCTTTCTTCTACTTTTCTCTACTTTTCTCAATCCGAAATCTGTTGGAATTCAAGACTGACTATAGTCTTGATCGACTAGTAAAAATTCACAAGGTTCATCAAAAGTCAAGGATATAGTCAAGGACAATCTGATCATTACTCTTTTCACAAAAAGATCCACCAAAGACAAGGTTTCGGTTTTGATTGTCTATGTTGATGA